TTATCACCAGCGCTGGGGTGAGCTGCACTAGCCGCCATGGGCTATGTATATATGTATAGATAAGTTTAACTCTTCATTATTTATTTTTCTTTCCATACTCACCTTAAACACTTCGGAGAAGAATCCAGAGCCAATTTTCTCCTTGACAAAGTCATCAACGGAGTAAAGTGCTGACACCGCAGTTCTGAGTGCTTTGCATGAAGGCCCCGTCACCAGACGATCTGACGAGATTGTACGCGCAACGGGCGGTGGCGCAGAATGATTGTTGCCGGCATTGTTGTTACTAATGCTGCCGCTGCTCATAGTGCTATTGTTGTTGGCACACCCATTTGTCATGGCAAAGGGCGTGTCAGCGCCAACACCACCACCACCACTTATAACACCGCTGCTGCAGCTACCATTAGTTGCTGTTGCTGTTGTTGTAGTTATTGTTGTCATCGTCCCCAGATTGGGTGTTGCACTCGCGTAAGCACTTTTCATGCCGCCATATGTGGTTGTTGTTGTTGCTGTTGTTGCACACTTTGTTGCAAATGTCTTTGCCGCCATTATCGAAGCGTCAACTTGATCAACACCAACCGCACCGTAACCAACACCACCACTCACACCGATTCCCATATACGAATTATGCTGTCCTGTCGTTGAATTCATTGAAACTGTTGCGATTGCTTTAGCTGACGGTGGACCGGGACCACTGTGTTGATTTGGATTCATCGCTATCAGCTGTGATGACGGTTTGACGACGCGTCGGAACTAAAACGCATCACCGGCCGACACTATGCTGCCTGCTGCGTACGAGATTGATAATGAAACGAATTGGCGATTTGGCGTCGTTGTTGTCGTAGCCGTTTGCTCTGTTGTTGTTGGTGGAGAGCGGAGCGTGTGCGTGGCGTAGTAGGTTCGTCGTTCGCTCGCACTAATCGCGTATGCACTAAACAATGCGTTTAGGCAACGGAACGCGCAAATACGTCAAATAAATGTTTAGTTACTTTTTGACACACACTAATTTATAAACAAGAAAAATTTTGACTTTTTCAACGGAAAATCCAAACAAAAATGAACGAAAATGATGTGAAGACACATATGTACATTCAAAAGGAACACCGATCTTTAACACTCAACTTGTTATCGATTTTCGAACAACAAAAGAGATGCGGCAGTTTTACAGGGGGTACCTTTTCTATTTCGAAAAAACACCTACTTCAATTATGGATTTTGTTGTTGACTTTGGCTGCACATGTGGCGTTTGTATTTCCTTAATTAAAAAAACAAAACAAAAACAAAAACAAAAACACTTTCTGAATGCAAACAAATATCAGTTGCACTTTTTTCTTTTTTTTTTTGGCGTTGTAATACAAGTTTTATTTGTTCACTAATGATTGCTTTGTAGCCATTTTTTTATTATTTTCCAACTTTCTGTTTTGTTTTATGCTCGCATACGGATCATAGAAAGCGCAAGTCTGTGCATTGTTTTGGAAATGTAGCTGCTGGAAGCGCACTTTGTTATAGTTTATTTGGAAGAATCTGAAATGAGAAAAAAAAAACAAGGAAATTATTAACAAAATATTTTTTGGGGTTTTTCGAAAAAATTAAACAAGGGCTTGTGACTTTATAATAAAAAAAAACTAGCCAAACAGCGACGATATGAAATTAAGTTTCAAGGGGCTTAAAAATTGCATTTGATTTTTAATAAATTTTTATTGACGGATTTCCCCACTTTTTGCCATATAAGAAGCATTTTTTTTTTTTTTAAATAAAATGTGGACTGTTCGGAATAAAATGACAAAAAATCAACGCCAGTTTTCATTAATTGCAGTTGTTATATAAAAACCTCAAAAGCAGTAAAAAAATAATAATAATAAAAATTAACGCGATTTTTTAGCAGGTTGAAACTTGCACTTCTTGGACTAAAATTGTATTGTATTTTATACGAAAATAACTACAAAAAAAAACACTCAAAACACAATATGAATATTTAAAAAAATCAACACGTGGTCACTTTTTTGTGTCACTGTATGTATGTGTATTAATTTGATTCTATAAACCTGGGCCGATATTTAATTATGGATTGTTTTGCACAATGCGGCAATATGTAAACTTTATAATGAAAACAATTTCATTTAATGCAGATGGAAAGCCCTTTCTATTTATACTTGAGAAATATGGTAACCACAGCTGAAATATAGATGTCTGGTAATTTTCATCGTAAATCTGGTTAAACAAAATTGTAAGTTTTGTTAAGATTCCACCAATCGCTAGTCTTGACATTCACTAAATGTCATTGTGACATTTGCCATAATCTAAAAACGCTATATTGGTGTAATTGGAGGACACTTAAAATTTATATTATTTTAGTGTTTTATGTATTAGCAACAAATTTTTATACGCTATAAGACATCGAGTGTAGAAAAGTTTCCACAAGTTCAAATAAAAAAAAATTCACTTAACAACTACTCCAATTTCATTGCCATATACTCGATATAAACATCGATTATAACATTGCTTATCGACGCAAATATTTACACAACAATTAACAACAAAATGCGCTAATTAAATGACAATGATAGGCACTTAATGAGTACGCAAATATTTTAAGCAAACTGAAATGAAATTGAAAAATTGTAAATAGAGAGATACGACGATCAACCGGCGTATTGAGCCACGTGATCACGCAAAACAACATGATCGCATAAAAAGTATTAAATTCTCGATTTGCAAATGTGTAAGTACATAGTCAAATTTAAGAATCGAAAGCATTAAGACACGCGCATCAGATTTGCAAGATTTCAAAGTTTATAACAATGGCTGAAATAAGAAGTACGGGCTGAAATTTAAAAGCTGTCTATTTGTTTGCTTACTGTTATTAAATGGATATGCATATTTACATAGATACATACATATTTATTTGTAGTGTTAGAGCTTAAGCACTTCATACAAAGCGTTAGATAAAGTGTCCATCAATAAAAAAAGTAAGCAGTAAGAGTGCTGTGAAATCAACCAGAATCTGGCTTTTGAAGTTCATAATTATCTTATCAATTAAATGTGAAAGTGTTTGCTTAGAAGCAATTACCAAATAATTTAATTCCATGCCTGTTGACGTACAAACGATGTGATAGGTATAGATGAAATGCTCGTATGTTTTCGTTTGCTGTAAAATAGCAGGTGACTATCACGAGCTTATTGTTAGTCTAATATAGGGGCACCGAAATTGCGCATATGGAAACTGTGCATTTAGACATTATTTCGGTTTCAACCGAAACTGTGCATGTATGCATTACTTCGGGTTTTTCATATGCATTATTTCGGTTTTCAACCGAAACTGTGCATGTATGCATACCTTCGTCTTTCACATATGCATTATTTCGGTTTTCATCCGACACTGTGCATGTATGCTTTATTTCGGTTTTTGCCATATGCATTATTTCGGTTTTGAACTGAAATTGTGCATATGGATAATTTCGTTTTTTCTAATATGAATTATTTACTTCTACTTAGTAAGGGTTATAATCCCTAAGCGCGGCCGAAGGCCGAAAACGCAGAGAAAAGTTCTGCGCAAAAGTACTTCCGGCCCCCTTTTCCGGCAACACAGAAAGGAGAATTCTACTTAGTAAGGGTTATAATCCCTAAGCGCGGCCGAAGGCCGCCTACGCAGAAAGAAGTTCTGCGCAAAAATACTTCCGGTCCCCATTTGCGGCAACACAGAAAGGAGAATTCTACTTAGTAAGGGTTATAATCCCTAAGCGCGGCCGAAGGCCGAAAACGCAGAAAGAAGTTCTGTGCAAAAATACTTCCGGCCCCCTTTTC